CCGTGCGCGCAGCCCCCGGGGCCGGGGCGGAGCCGGGACCCCGCGTGGGCGGCAGGGACGCGGCCGCCAGAGGCCGCCGGCTGCCTCCCGGGCGCTCGGGCCGGAGGCCGGCGCGGGCTGCGGGCTGCGGGATGCGGGATGCGGGATGCCCGCCCGCCCGCCCGCCGGGTCCTTAAGGCTGCACGGGCGCCTTGCTGAGGCGGGGCGCCAGGTGGAGAGGGTGCGGTGGGTCGGAGCCGGACGCCCCGCCGGCGAGTTGAGGCGGCTGTCCCCATGCTAGCGGGCCGTGTCCCTGGGATTGCGAGGAGGTTGGTTCTGCACTTGCGCCGTATGACGGCCGTGTCGCAGAGTTTGTGTAGTAAAGTGACTTTTGCTTTTTTTGGTGGTGGTGGTGGGGGTGGTGTATGCCCACGTACCGTGTGGCTGGGGAAAGACGGTCTCGTAGAAACTGGGACTCTCGTGCTACGCAGAGGTGAGCACCCTGACCCGGGGCCCCGGGTCTACCAGGTCGTTAATAAGCAGATGGGACTGTAGGTCAGTGTCCGTGCTCTGGGAACGCCGTCGCTGTGTGAGGGCGCGCGGCTGCCGGCGCTGGGTCCGAGTGATGCTTCCGTGGCTTCCTTCTCCTCCGAGTCTCCCCCATCGGCGGGCGCGTCTGGATCCCGTGTACCCCTCCCACTGCCCTTTTGTTCCGGAACTGGGAAGCTTGTGTCCTCCATGCCGCTGCGTCCTTTCCGCGCTTCGCCTGAGCCAGTGTCGCCTCCCCTGGCGCAGCCACACCGCCGGGTCCCCGTGGTAGCAGCCTTTGCCCCCTCCCCTGGCCCTGACACTGCTCTGTCGCTTCTGCTGCCGCAGCCGGCCTCACAGCTCCTTGTGGTTCCGCCCCGTGTGCCGGCGGCACATGCCGTGGCGCGGTGTCCCGGCTGGATCCTCCCTGCCCAGAGTGCCGCTTTTTGGGCATTTGGCCCGGCAGTTAAGTCCCTGCCTGGCACACCACACCGTGTCGGAGTGCCTTCTTTAGTCCAGCTCCCCTCTAAAGCCTTCTGGTCCGCTTTAGCACAGCGCCCCCACCTCAGCAGTTTTGTTTTTTCATTGACGTATAGTAGGGTTCACTTTGGTGTACAATTCTGAGAAGTTTGACAGCTGTTGTGATTTTCCCCACAATCAAAGGAAACGGCTCCCTCTCCCCAGGAGGTCCCCTCGTGCTGCCATTGCAGTTGAGTCCTCCCTTCGGCCCTTGGTGACCGCCGACGCCTGTCTCTGGATTCCCGTCATTTTCCAGGATGCTGTGTAAAGGAAGTCACCTGGCTCTTCGCACAGGACGCGAGTCCACCTGTTGGGTGCTGAGTGCTACCCCGTGGTGCGGGTGCGCACGCTGTGTCCCTCCTTCCATCCGGTTTGCTCTGTCTCCAGGTGTTGCTGTGTGCCTCCCCATCGTGAGATGTTCCCACTACTGCTGACCCCCTCCCAGGACCCCCACCAAGGGCAGTGTCTCTCACAAGGGGGTGAAAATGGGTTCTTTTATAGTGGTCTGTGGCCTCAGGGCGGAGGTAGAGCTTCCTGGGGTTCGTTAGGAGAAAAGCTCCGACACATGTCACTGGGGGACAGTGGAAAAAGATGGAGAAACGGCAGTAGGACGGTGAGTTGAGGACCGGCAACTTTATTACTTGCTATTTGTTGAAGCACTTCTGTTTTTCTTTCTTCTTTTCCTTTTTTAAATTTTTTATTTATTTGAAAGGTAGTATGAATGACAGAGGCATTGAAAGAGATCTTCTGTCTGTTGGTTGGAACCTGAAACTCCCACATGGGCAGCAGGGGCTCAAGCAATTGGGCCATCTTTGCTGCTTTCCTAAGTACCTTATCAGAGAGCTGTCTTGAATGTGGTGCAGCGGGTTAATGCCCTGGCCTGAAGCACTGGCATCCCATATGGGCGCCGGTTCGAGACCCGGCTGCTTCACTTCCAATCCAGCTCTCTGCTATGGCCTGGGAAAGCAGTAGAAGATGGCCCAAGTCCTTGGGCTCTGCACCCAAGTGGGAGACCCGGAAGAAGCTCCTGGCTCCTGGCTTCAGATCGGTGCAGCTGCAGCCATTGCGGCCAGTTGGGGAGTGAACCATCGGATGGAAGATCTCTCTCTCTGTCTCTCTGCCTCTCCTCTCTCTGTGTAACTCTGACTTTCAAATAAATAAATAAATCTTAAAAAAAACAAAAAAACTTAAGGATTGTGAAGCAGCCAGGACTCAAACTGGTGCTCTGATATGGGCTGCTGGCCTTGCAGGTGGTGGCCTAGCCTACTGCCTCACAACATCAGCCCCACTTCCATTTTTCTTGAACTTCTCTCTCAAGCTGAAATGGATCCCACCTAGTCTAGTACAGGGTTGGCCCACAGGGTGGAAGACCTGTTCCCACCTCTGTGATTCTAAAACTCTGGGGAGATACTGGGTGCAGATTTTTCTGTTGACCTCAGCACCTGACTGTAGTTGGTGGTTCTCTTTAATAACACAGTGTGATGAACCTGGACATTTTTTTTTTTAAAGTGTATTTATCTATTTGAGAGGCGTAGTGACAGAGAGAAGGAAAGACAGGCAGAAGTCCACCATCTGGTTGTTCACTCCTCATATGCTTGCAACAGCTAGGACTGGGCCATACTAATATTAGGATCCAGGAACTCCACATGGATCTCCCACTTGGATGGCAAGGGCCCAAGTACTTGAGTCATCACCTGCTACCTCCCAGGGCGCACATTAGCAGGAAGCTAGAACTCAAATGAGGCACTCTGATGTGAGATAGGATGCCGCATCCCGAGTGGCAGTCAGCCTGCTGCACCACGTCACCTGCCCCACAGTTTAACCCTTTTTGTGTCATTTGGAACTTACAATAGGAACCTTAATAAACTCCTGGTGAGAGAAGACTGAATGGTTCTCGTATAGATCTTTTGTTATTAGCTTTTTGATACAGGATACTTGATATTGCCATGTGTTTTTGTTTTCTTCCTTTTTTTTTTTTTTTAACGATTTATTTATTTGAAAGAGTTACACACAGAGAGAGGCAGAGAGATAGAGAGAGGTCTTCCATCCGCTGGTTCACTCCCCAATTGGCCACAATGGCCAGAGCTGTGTGGAACTGAAGCCAGGAGCCAGGAGCTTCTTCTGGGTCTCCCACGTGGGTGCAGGGTCCTAAGGACTTGGGGCGATCTCCAACTGCTTTCCCAGGCCATAGCAGAGAGCTGGATCGGAAGTAGAGCATCTGGGTCTCGAACCAGTGCCCATATGGGATGCCAGCACTGCAGGTGGTAGATTTACTCACTATGCCACAGCGCCAGCCCCTTTATTTTCTAATAGTTTTTTTTTTTTAATATATATTTTTTTATTTTTATTTTTTTTATTTTTTGACAGGCAGAGTGGACAGTGAGAGAGAGAGACAGAGAGAAAGGTCTTCCTTTGCCGTTGGTTCACCCTCCAATGGCCGCCGCGGTTGGCGCGCTGCGGCCAGCGCACCGCGCTGATCCGATGGCAGGAGCCAGGAGCCAGGTGCTTTTCCTGGTCTCCCATGGGGTGCAGGGCCCAAGCACCTGAGCCATCCTCCACTGCACTGCCTGGCCACAGCAGAGAGCTGGCCTGGAAGAGGGGCAACCGGGACAGAATCCGGCGCCCCAACTGGGACTAGAACCTGGTGTGCCGGCGCCGCTAGGCGGAGGATTAGCCTAGTGAGCCGCGGCGCCTGCCTAGTTTTTTTTTTTTTAAGGATTTATTTATTTGGAAGGCAGAGTCACACACACACAGACACACAGACACACAGAGCAAAGGAGCAAGCTTGTGAGTGCTTTTATCGGCTGTTTCATTTCCCAGATGGCCAAGTCTGGGCCAGGCTGATGTTGGGAACCAGGAACTCTGTCCTGGTCTCCCACATAGGTGGCAGGGTCCCATCTGCTGTTGCCTTCCCAGATGCATTGGCAGAGAGCTGGATAGGAAGTGGAGCAGCCAGGACTTGAAGTGGTGCTCAGATACAGGCTGTCCATGTTACAGTGCCTCCATGCCAGCCCTGAAGTTACCAGCTTATATAGAAAGTACTTCTTGTTGTAGCATTCTCAGGTGGACAACTTCAAAGACAGTAGCATACTGACAGTTCCACAGTGAACATTTGGACTACCCCCAGTTTCTGTTGACATTTCAGTGTGCCTGCTTTGTCACATCTCTCCATCCGTCAGTATTTTAAAAACTTCACAGTAGGGCCGGTGCCGTGGCTCACTTGGTTAATCCTCTGCCTGCGGCACCGGCATCCCATGTGGGCTCCGGTTCTAGTCCCAGTTGTTCCTCTTCCAGTCCAGCTCTCTGCTGTGGCCCGGGAAGGCAGTGGAGGATGGCGCAAGTGCTTGGGCCCCTGAACCCGCATGGGAGAAGGGAGGAAGCACATGGCTGGCTCCTGGCTTCGGATCGGCGTAGCTCCGGCCGTAGTGGCCATTTGGGGGGTGAACCAATGGAAGGAAGACCTTTCTGTCTCTCTCTTTCACTGTCTAACTGTATCTAACAAAACAAAACAAAACACTTCACAGTGAATTTCCAAGTAAGTGAAAGCAATGCTTATGATATGTTTAAACTTTTTTAAAAACTCCCTTCGGTGGGGGTAGTTCCGTTTGTATGGGTCTGTGGGTTACTGGAGGGGGGCACAAAGATGGCCTGGAAACAGCCCCGAGTGTGTCTTGGGTGGAGAGGCGGGGTGCATTCTGTGGGGAGAGTGGTTCTGGAGCTCGGCTCTGCTCAGAAGAAGAGAGGCTGCGTGTGGGGAGTGGAGGGAGCTGAGGTCCTCGTGGTGGGGCTGCCCTGGGTGCAGATGGCATTCTGCCTCCGTAATGGCCGAGCTTCCCGAGTCGCCTTCTCAGAAAACAGTCTGGAACCTGCAGCACCGGCGTGCTGGTGGGCTCCAGACCCTCAGCGGTGTTGGGTGGCGGGAACCTGGTGTCCGCCTCCAGTTGCATGCATCTTAACCCCACACAGCCATTTATCAGCTCTGCCATTTTGCCTCCTCTGGTTTTCAGGAGTGAGTGAGAATATGAAGCAGCAACTCTGTAGAAAGATGAATTAAAATTAGAAAGATAGCCAATTTTAAAAGTTGTTTAGCCATTGGCAATAGCTTAGCTGTCCATTGGGTGTTAAATAACTTCTTTACGATTGATTGTATGTTTCTGTCAGTTGGTTATAAGCTCACTTAGGTCAGGAACCATTTCTTTAAAAAAAATTGAAGTGTAAGTTCATGCATTTCATTGTGCAGTTCTGTTAAGTTTTGCCAAACACATTCATCTTGTGTCATCTCAAATTGTTTTCTTCTTCTTCATCTTTTTTTTGTTTGTTTGACGGAGTTACACAGAGAAAGAGAGGCAGAGGCAGAGAGAGAGAGAGAGAGGTCTTCCATTCTCTGGTTCACTCTCCAAATGGCCGCAATGGCTAGAGCTGTGCCGATTCGAAACCAGGAGCCAGGAATTTTTTCCAAGTATTCCACGTGGGTGCAGGGGCCCAAGCAATTGGGCCATCCTCCACTGTTTTCCCAGGCCACAGCAGAAAGCTGGATCAAGAGTGGAGCAGCCAGGACTCGAACTGGTACCCATATGGGATGCTGGCACTGCAGGCAGTGGCTTTACCCACTTCACCAGAGTGCCGGCTCTGCAGGCAGCAACTTAACCCATTGTGCAAGCCCCACAAAACAAGCTGTTTTATTTATTTATTTTTTAAAATTTATTTATTTGAAAGAGACAGGAGGAAGGGGGGAGAGAGGGGGAGGGAGAGAGAGAGGGAGAGGAGGATCTTCTAGTTGTTGGGGGAGAGAGAGGGATCTTCCATCCACTGGTTCACTCCTCAAATGGCTGCAATGGCTGGGGCAGGGCCAGGCTGAAGTCAGGAGCTTCTTCTGAGTCTCCCACATGGGTACAGGGGCCCAAAGACTTTGGCCATCTTCTGCTGCTTTCCCAGGTTCATTAGCAGGGCACTGGATTGGAAGTAGAGTGGCAGGGACTTGAACCTTTACCCATTTGTGGTGCCAGCACTACAGGTGGTGGCTGAACCTTCTGTGCTACAGCATTGACCCCCAAATCATGCTTTAAAAATAGTTCCACACCCCCAGAATCCTTCCTTTCTGGTCAGCTCCTTCCATACTGTCAGGTTCTAACCTAACCTCTGTTGCTGTGGTTTTTGCCTTTTCCAGAGTAGCATGTCATGATGCACACAGCATGGAGTCTTTGGTCTGGCTTCTGTCTCTTGGCATCTTCTGTGTTGTTGGGTGTGTCAGCAGCTCCCTCAGTGGTATTGCTGAGTTGTGTGCTGTTGTGTGTGTTCCACAGTTTGTTGTCTGTCCATCAGGTGAAGAAGGTCAGTATTAGTACCTTCCTATGTTTCAGTGAAGTTTTTTGTTAAGTTTTAATTTATTAGAGACAGAAAGGAGAGAAAAAGCGCCCACCTGTTGATTTACTCCCCAAATGCTGGCAAAAGCTCGGACTAGGCCAGGCTGAAACCAGGAGCGGGAAATCACTCCAGGTCTCCCACGTGGTTAGAAGGAACCCAGTTCCTTGAGCCTTCACCATTGCCCCCCAGGAAGCTGGAGTTAGGAGCTGGAACCCTAGCTCTCTAGTGTGGGTTGTAGGCATCTTAATGGTAGGCTAGACACCAGCCCCTGAAAATATTTTTTTTAATGTAGTAATGATAAGGTTGTACAATTGGTGTCCTTTTTTCACTTAATATTATGAGGGTACCTCAAAAAATTAATGAAGAAAATGGAGCTAAATGGTGGCTTTGGGGCAGGCATTTGGCATAGTGGTTAAGACCCCTGTCAAGAGGCCCACGCACTGTGTCAGGGTGCCTGAGTCTGATACCCAGCTCCATCTCCTGACTCTGGCTTCTTGAACGTGTACACCCTGGAAGCAAGCACTGGTGGCTCAAGTAAGAGTCCCAGCACACATGTGGGGCCTGTGGACTGAGTTCCTGGCTCCTGTCTTTGGTCCAGCTCAGCCCAGCCCTGTGGATGTTCTGTCTGACTCTCAAAACATCACTTTGCAAAAGTAATTTGAAATCCATGCATAGTCATACATCTGAACAGTTTTTAATTTTTTTGAAAGAGAGAAAATTGTGCCATCAAATGCCAGCAGCCAGGTCTGGGCCAGCCTGAAGCCAGGAGCCAGTAATTCCATCTGGGTCTTCCATGTGGGTAGCAGGACCTGACATACTTGCTCTGTCATTTGCTGCCTTCCAGGGTGCACGTTAGTACTTTATCAGGCCTTCTGATTTTTCCAACTAGTGTGGAAAAATCACAGCACCAACGGCCACCAGTTTGAACCCTTTCCATTTTTACTATATGTTCTCCATCTAGAACTTGAACATTGAACATTTCTGGTTATTTTTGCTTTTAACATGGTATTCTGCCATGAATATATTTCATGAACAAATATTTTTAATTGATAGGTTAATTTTCTTTCTTTCTTTCTTTCTTTCTTTTTTTAAGATTTATTTATTTATTTGAAAGGCAGAGTTACAGAGAGGCAGAAAGAGAGAAAGAGATCTTCCGTCCACTGGTTCACTCCCCAGATGGCTGCAATGGACAGAGCTGGGCCGATCTGAAGCCAGGAGCGTCTTCCCGGTCTCCCACATGGGTGCAGGGACCCAAGGATTTGGGCCATCTTCTGCTTTCTCAGGCCATAGCAGAGAGCTGGACCAGAAGTGGAACAGCTGGGACTCAAACTGGTGCCCCCATGAGTTGCCAGCAGTGCCGGCGGAGGCTTTACCCATTATGCCACAGTGCCAGCCCCTAGGTGAATTTTCTTAGGACTTATTTCAGAGTTACTGTGTAAAAGGGTCATTGGGTCACATGGATTCCTTCCACTTGCAGCACCGTGATCTGCTTTTGCTAGGTGTGTTTCGGCTCGTGGACCACTTTGCAGTATGTGGCACCCCCTCCATGCTCTTGCCCGTTTCCCATTGGTGGTGTCTGTGAGTCCCAGTTGTCTGAGTTAATGCCTTGGCCAAGCACAGGGGAGACAATACTGATTTTCATCTGGGTAGCAGGGCTGGACTTTGCATTCTGAGCTACTTAAGTAGATGTTTTTCTCTTGTTATGAACTTTGTGTGTGTGTGTGCGTGCGTGTGTGTGTGTATTTAATTGAAAGGCACAGTTACAGGGTGTGGGGAGGCAGAGACAGAATGATCTTCATCCACTGGTTCATTCCCCATACAGCTGCAGTGGCCCCAGGGCTGGAGCCAAGGGGCAAGGAGCTGCTTCTGGGTCTCCTATGTGGGTACAAGGGCCTAAGCACTTGAGCCATCCGCCACTGCGTTCCCAGGCACAGGGGGCTGGATAGGAAGAGGAATGGCTGGGACTTGAACTAGTGCCCATATTGGGATGCCGACATCACGGGCAGCAGCTTTACTTGCAACATCATGACGCCACTCCCTGTGATGAGATTTTACGTTGATTTCCCCAAGGTACCAATCTGTTGGCCTCACATAATGCTTTTCATCTCCGTTATCGCCTCCCCTGTTGAGTGAGTCACTGCCCACTGCTGTTGCTTGCTGACCGCCTGTGATGTTCTGGGCAGGTGTTCTAAGGGAATAACCCTAAATGCACCCTACAGCAGTGTTTTCTGCATTTGTCCCATCTCCTTATTATTCTCCCCTCACGATACTTACTTCAAAAATCAAAACCTTGTTTTGAAAATAAAAAGCAAGGTTATGTGCCCTCTGGTGGTGTGGCCCTAGTCGCTGGCTGGCTGGGGCTCCTGTTGCAGGTCCTCCCTCTGGTGTTGGCTGCAGTTTGTGCTGCCTCCCGCACCTGCTGCTTCCTGTGTGCCAGGAATACACACTCAAAAATTTTGGAGCTGTTATTTTTAAAATATATTAAAGCTTTTATTTATTTGAAAGGCAGACAGGGCAGGGTTGGGGGAGATCTTCCATGTGCTGGTTCACTTCCCAAATGCCCACAATAGCTGGGGCTAGGCCAGGCCAAAACCAGGAATCAGGAACTCCACTTGGGTTTCCCATGTGGATGGCAGGGACCTAAGTACTTGAGCCATCTCCTGCTGCCTCCCCGGGGGCACACTAGCAGGAAGCGCCACTGGAAATGGAGGCAGGACTCCATCCCAGGCACTGTGCTGTGGAACGGGGGCAGCCTAACCCGCTGCCGTGCTCGAGCTTTGTGTTTGTTGGTTTTTGTTTTAATATTTATTTATTCATTTTGATAGTGTTAGGAGAGGGAATCTTTCATCTGCTGGCTCACTCCCTTAATGGCTGCAACGGCCAGAGCTTGGCCATATCATATTGGGTCTCCCATGTTGGTACAGGGGCCCAAGGACTTGGACCATCTTTCGCTGCTTTCCCAGGTGTATTAGCAGGGAGCTGGATCCAAAGTGGAGCAGCCGGGACTTGAACCAGTGCCCATAGGGGATGCCGGCACCACAGCCTGCTGAGCTACAGTGCTGGCGCTTCTGGGGCTTCTGGTTTCCTGTCTGTATTTCATCCAAGGCCTGAGCTGGAAGAGCCTTGTAGTTGTGGTTGCTTCTTCAGATTCATGATTTCTTTCTTTTTTTCTTGTAATCTGTTTATTTTCTCATTGAGATAAGCGGTAGTTTCTCTAAGATCAAAAGGGGCTCCTGCTTGTCTTCAGAGAGCAAGAAGAGGCTCTTTGATCACTGTCCAGCTAGCGTGGGTGGCAGGAACCCAGGTGATGCAGAGCTGGTTGTGCCAACCGGGGCTTGAGGGGTTCCTGTGACAGCCTTCAGCTGCAGTGGGCCCTGGTGCCAGCAGCGTTCTAAGTGTTGTGGCTTCCTACTCACTGGGTCAGTGCTGAGTTGGGCCATCAGGATTCCATTTTTCTCCCTGTACGTCTCTTTAGAACTTGGAGGGGTTTTTACTCCTTTGTCAGGTGGGTCCAAGCAGCAGCTGCTTCCTTTATATGAGACCTTGGTCTTTTTGGTCCCTACCTCTCCTCTTGAGATCCAAGATCCTCTTGGATCCCTGGTTCTGAGCGGAATGCCATCTGCTGTTGTGTTGGCACTGTTGTTTCTCTTGGGAGAAACGCAGGACAGCAGGAGCCAGAGTCTGAGGGCAGCAGTTTATCTTCAGTCCTCTCCTCTCCAGTGGATGCACTGCATGTACTTGGCTGGGTCCAACTCCGTCTCACCTCAGAATTACCCTTGGTGCTCTGTCTCCTTCACCCTGTCCCTCAGCAGGTCACTTATATTCTCCCATCACGTGCAAAGCCAGTTCTGGGGGTTTGAGCCTGCTTGAATGTGCTTGCAGTCCCCTGTAGGGCATCCTTTAGAGAGAACATGGGGTCCCTCTGAGCTCTTCTTAGAGTCTCCATTCTTCTGTGCTCTGGTAGTGAACAGGGAGGTTTGAGACCAGCTCCTGTCCCTGCCCCAGGACTTCATTTTGTTTTTCAGCCTGGCCTCTGGGCTAGCCAGCAGCTTCCTCAGGCTGAGGGCCGTTTCCCTGCGCCTCTGCTGTTGGCAGCAGCACGAGCTGCACACATGGTCAGGCTAGTGTGTGAGCTGCGTTCACAAAGAGAGCCTTTGCCTTTGCCCTTGATGGCCAGGAAGCTGTGCAAGGGAGACAGAGGACTGCACACCTCGTCTGGCAGTGGGCACCCAGTGCCTCCGCAGCCCAGTGGCAGCTCTGTTGGAGTGGGAGCCGGGGTCAGACCCTTCCTGTTCTGGCTGCTGCTGACCTGGCCATGTACAACTCACAAACTCCTGTGACTCAAGTGGGGCAGGATTAGGACCTGTCCCAGGGTGGCTGTGAGGTGTGGGCTGGTGTGGTCCCAGTGATTGCTGTGAGCTACGGTTCCTGGTTGAGTGGCCCACCCTTTCCTGCCAGGCTCAGTCCTGGGCCCTGGGCACAGCTGAAGAGGACACAGTTCTCGTCAGTATTCAAGGGGACGGTCTCCAGTGCTGTCTGTGTGCATTGCTCGACTCAGTAAGATGCTCGCTGTGTATCAGATGCCAGTGGAAGCATACTTTCAAAGGATCTTTTCAGAGCCGTTCAATGGTAATCATTCTGAGTGGTGATCAGCGATTCTATCTACCTTCAAGTAACGTGATCTTCATTTTGATCTTGTAGGAGAACGTTCCGCGGGATAGCAAGGGAGGTGATGATGCACCATGGCGGCGGCTCCCAGGGTGCCCAGCATCAGCCGCAGAGGCCCCGGTCCTTCCCTGGCAGCGAAGAAGAGCAGGCGGCCCACCCGAACCTGCCCCCGTCCCCCGCCGCACCCCAGTCCCCTGGGTACCAGATACAGCAGCTGATGAGTAGGAGTCCCGTGGCTGGGCAGAACGTGAACATCACCCTGCAGAACGTGGGCCCCGTCGTTGGAGGAAACCAGCAGATCACGCTGGCCCCTCTGCCGCTTCCCAGCCCCACCTCTCCAGGCTTCCAGTTTGGTACCCAGCCGAGGCGCTTTGATCACGGGTCTCCGTCGTACATTCAGGTCACTTCTCCCCTGTCCCAGCAGGTGCAGACCCAGAGCCCCACGCAGCCCAGCCCGGGGCCGGGGCCAGCCCTGCAGAGTGTACGTGCGGGTGCCCCGGGGCCCGGGCTGGGCCTCTGCAGTGGCAGCCCCACGGCAGGCTTTGTGGATGCCAGTGTGCTCGTCAGGCAGATCAGCCTGAGCCCCTCCAGTGCTGGGCACTTTGTGTTTCAGGATGGCTCGGGGCTTGCCCAGATCGCCCAGGGCGCCCAGGTGCAGCTCCAGCACGCGGGGACGCCCATCGCAGTCCGGGAGAGGAGACTCTCCCAGCCTCACACTCAGTCGGGAGGCACCGTCCACCATCTGGGCCCCCAGAGCCCTGCGGCTGCAGGGGGTGCTGGCCTGCAGTCGCTGGCAAGCCCAAGCCACATGGCCACGGCGAGCCTGCCACCTCAGATCAGCAGCATCCTCCAGGGCCAGCTGATCCAGCAGCAGCAGCAGCAGGTGCTGCAGGGGCCGCCGCTGAGCAGGCCCCTGGGGTTCGAGAGGACCCCAGGAGTGCTGCTCCCCGGGGTTGGGGGGGCGCCAGCCTTTGGGATGACCTCCCCACCGCCACCCACCAGCCCTTCCAGAACCTCTGTGCCCCCGGGCCTGTCCAGTCTGCCCCTCACATCTGCGGGCAGTACAGGCATGAAGAAGGCTCCAAAGAAGTTAGAGGAGATCCCCCCAGCCTCGCAGGAGCTGGCGCAGATGCGGAAGCAGTGCCTGGACTATCACCACAAGGAGATGGAGGCTCTGAGGGAGGCCTTCAAGGAGTACTTGATCGAACTGTTCTTCTTACAACATCTGCAAGGGAACATGATGGATTTCTTAGCGTTCAAGAAGAAGCATTATGCCCCTTTACAAGCGTATCTTAGGCAAAACGATTTGGACATTGAAGAAGAGGAGGAGGAAGACGAAGAGGAGGAAGAGAAATCTGAGGTTATCAATGATGAGGTAAGGAACAGCGTTCAGTGATCTCTGGTAGGCAGATGAGAGTCCTTGCACCAACAGGTGAAACATGTTTGTGAGCCTTAGGTATTTTTAAGGTTTTGTTTTCCTAAGGACTTGATCCTGAGCAGAACTGAAGACGTCTCTGCTGTTCTCTTTCCTGGAAGCAGGAGCTGTTCCAGGCAGCAGAGTGCCAGGAGGGAGCGGAGAGCGGTGCTGTCAGTGGTGCATGTTCAGTACCCAGCTGTTTTCACTGAGAACCCAGGATTCGGCTCAGCTCAGAACACTCAGTTTTCCCCTTTCGTCTTGGCTTGTGCCACTGGCTGTCAATGACAGCTGCCACAGGCCCTGCCGCAGGAGGCAGAGAAGGCTCTCCCTAGGGTGTGAACTTGCACTGCTTTGCTGGTTGTCCAGGTTTCACATTTTACTTCTCTGGGTCCATTCATAAGAGCATCGTCAACATGGTTTATAAATAAGGGATTTAAGTCACCAACTTTTTATATGGCACCAGCAATAATTACAGATCACTGGATATATTTATAGGGGATCTTCATAATTAAAAAATACAGTTACGATAAAAAACTATGTTTGAGTTTTTTTTCAATATTTAGGTATAGTCTTAGATTTGAGATCGTATTTTAAACTCACACTTTTCCAAATACCTATTAGTGATATTTAAGAGAATCACTTAGATAGTACACTTTTTGGGTGCCTAGAATGGGTGCATAATAACCCCCCTGCGATTTTCCTGCCCTGTAGTGACCCCTGGCGTTCTTCCATTTGTACTTCTGAAATGCTGGGGTGACAATGGATTGTCCTGCAGTGCCCTGTGCTCTGTGCTTTTGTGTTGTGTGGTACACTGTGTGGGTGGAGCTCATCTTGTATGATGATGTAGCTGAAGCAGTGTGAACCTTGTCAGCTCTTTGGCAAAGACACCAGGTTTTGTTGAACAGAACCTGGTCTCTGCTCAGGCCATCCTCACTGACGTCAGGGAGGCACCTGTGTGGCTTTGCCATTTTATGTTTTCTCTAACACCCTTTCCAGGATCTACCATTTTTTTGTTTTTCAACAGGTTTTTATGATTACTTTGAGGATTTCACCTCTGTTGCCACGGAGCAGTGAAATTCAGTGCTCTGTATGTGTTTGTATCCAAGTGTTGTGTGTAAACTCCACCTACTGTCTCTGCTTGTAAAGAAGAATTAGTCCCTTCCCGTGACTTCCTGCTGACAGAGAGCAGAACGCTGCCTGTGATGTCACAGGGCTTTGTTACTTGACTTGCGTCTACCATTACCATCTAAAACATTTGAAAAATAAAAAAAGTTTCAGAATCTAAGGATATTACACTGTGACTTAAAGTGGAGTTTCTGCAAGATTTGCAGTTGTCAGATTGTTATGTTGTAAATCTGTCAGTTCAGTGCCCTTTCACAGGATTTGATGCGCAAACCTTCCATTTTTAACACCACAAGCATCAGTCAGCTGTCAGTAAAATTCTAACAATTTCCAGCAGTCTTAAAAATTATGTTGCCTTTTTTTTCTCAAAATATTTCCTCTCAGGTAAAGGTTGTGACAGGAAAGGATGGGCAGACTGGTACTCCCGTTGCTATAGCAACCCAGCTTCCTCCAAATGTTTCTGCTGCTTTTTCATCCCCGCAGCACCCATTTCAGGTACTTTTCGATGGTTCTAAAACGTAGTCTCATCCCAGACTTTTCCTCCATCCAGATATTTTAACCTTCAATCGCTATTTGCTCTTAGCATTTTTTTTCCAGAGCCCATTCCTTATTTTTAAGAAGAAAGCCTTCCTGCATCTAAAATTATTAAATTAAATTGCATGAATAGATGACAACACAGGTCTGGCTGTGTTCTTTTTCCATACACCTGTAATGCAGTAGCTTTTAGCATGCATGTCTTCTGATACTTATAGTTCTCTGTGCTCAGGACTGTTGTGTGCTGTGTTTTAAATGTTGGTTCTTTCTTGTGTCTTTTATCTGTATTTTGAGAACAATATAAAGCAGAATAAGAAAAAAAGTTTGAAGCAAATGGTTGCTTGGTATTTTCCGTAGCTGAAGGAAGTCCTGAAGTGAAACGCCACTGAGGTCATCAGGAGCACAGACGTCTGATGGATGTTAAGGGAATGCAAGCTGATGGGTGGGTGTTTGGCCTGGCAGTGAATTAAGACACATGGTTAAGATGCTCAGCCTGCAGTGGAGTGCCAGGATGCAGTGCCCGGCTGTGGCTCCTGACGCCTGTGGCTTCCTGCTGGTGTGCATGCGGGAAAGCAGCAGGTGATGCTCAAGTCAGATTCGTGTCACCTACATGGGAGATCTGGATTGAGTTTCTGGCTTCTGGCTGGAGCCTGGCCCAATCCTGGCTGTTGTGGGCATTTGGGGAGTAAATCAGTGGATGGAAGTGCTCCCTCTGCTTTTCTGCCTCTTGAATTAAGGCTGGGGGCAGGGGTGGAGGTTGGTGAGGAGACAGGACCACCCCAGTGTTACACTGGCAGTGCCAGGAATGTTCAAGCACAGGTCTAACATGAGTAGTTTTGGAGTATTTGTGCTGGATTTTGAAAGTAGTTTCATTATGATGATATTTTTGATGTTAGGTGTTTTAAATTTTGATATAGTTTTAAATGAACATTAAAGTTATAATTATACAAGAAAACTCCCCCTTGTAGCCATTACTTAAATTCACTGATTGTGAATTTGTTGCCTCATTTGCATTATTTTCATCTAAACATCGTATCATAGCCCTGGACCCTTTATCCCTGAATCCTGCAGCTCATGTCAGTAAGGCGTTACCTTGCAGTGATCAAAGTCAGGACATTCTGCTGTACTGCAGTCTTATTATCCACCCACAGTTCATTTTTCAGGTTTTGTCTTGTCCTGATGATGTCTGTTACGAAGGTTTTCCATGATTGGTCTCCCTGACTCTGGACTGGTTGAGATTTTTGATGAGTGCGCGCCAGTTACCCTATCGAGTTTCCTTTCATGTGGGCTTGTCTCATGTTTCCTGGTGCCATACTGGGTCGTGCATGTGTGAGGGAGGACCCCGGACGTGGCACTGTGCCCGTCTCTGTGAGTCCCTTGAAGGGTGACGTCAATTTTTCAGCATGTGGTCGAGGTGGTGTCCCCTAGGCTTGTTCACTGGACTGTTACTTATTTTTCATTTTGTGAGTGATAAGTAATTTGGGAATGTTGCCTTGAGACTGTGTACATATCCTGTACCTGATTAAGGTTTTGCCCACTATTGATGCATCTTGCCCGAGTTCATTGGTACGTAAAGATTTCAAAATGAATTTTCTCACGCCGCCCTTCCTTCTGTGTTAATTGGTTGCATTTACTGCAGTGATGAGCTTTCCTTTTCTTCCACTCTTATGTTTTTGTTTTAATCATTGAGTTATGCCCATCAATCCCCTGCAGATGCCCTCTGCCACCCCTTGGGAGTCAGGGCCTTGGCCTTCCTGACCTTTGCTCTCTGTGGTGGTGTTTTTTCCAGAAAGGAACATAAATGTAGTCACTGCTGCCTCTCAGCGTGTGGTCAGCAGGGTGTGTGTGGGATGTGGCCAGCAGTGTTCTCTGTGCTGAGGATGGTTTCCGTTGTGGGAAGGGGCCTGGTTTCTTTATTCAGTCAACCCTGGAAGGATGTTTGGGTTGTTTTCCAGTTCTGGAATTTATGAAGAAGGCTGCAGACGTTCACATGTGATTTTTTTTTTTTTTTAATTTTTTGACAGGCAGAATGGACAGTGAGAGAGAGAGACAGAGAGAAAGGTCTTCCTTTTGCCATTGGTTCACCCTCCAATGGCCGCTGCGGCCAGCGCACCGCGCTGATCCGAAGCCAGGAGCCAGGTGCTTCTCCTGGTCTCCCATGGGGTGCAGGGCCCAAGCACCTGGGCCATCGTCCACTGCACTCCTGGGCCACAGCAGAGAGCTGGCCTGGAAGAGGGGCAACCGGGACAGAATCCGGCGCCCCGACCGGGGCTAGTCACATGTGATTTTTACGTGTGAACATTGGCGTTCGTGTCACTTGGATAAGATACTTGGGGTGGGATGGCTGGGTTGTTAGTTGTATGCTCAGCTTTGTGAGAAATGGCTACACTGGTACTTGTTATTACCAATTTTCTTGTCATTCTCATGGGTGTGTGGTAGTTGGAAACTGTCTCTCAAGACCAAAGCTGTGCTTGTGATATCTGTTGTCTTTGGTAAAGCATCTCTTCATATCTCACCTGTTGTTTATTGAGTGGTGTGTTTTATTGCATTTGAAAGTTCTTTGCATGAGGTGGGTATTAGAATTTTTTGACAGGTATTTGATTTGCAGAATTTCCCATTAGTGTATGACTTTTTTCCTTATCTTTTTTTTTTTTAAGATTTATTTATTTTAATGTATTTGAAAGGTAGAGTTAGAGAGTTAGAGAGAGAGAGAGGTATCTTTCATTCACTAGTTTCACTCCCCAAATGGCCACAGTGGCCAGGGCTGGGCCAAATTGAGTTTCTTCTGGATCTTCGACACAGGTTCAGGGGCCCAAGAACTGGGGCCATCTTCTGCTGCTTTCCAAGGTGTTTTAGCAGGGAGTTGGATCAGAAGTAGAGCAGCTAAATCTTGAACCGGTGCCTATGAGAGATGCTGCCATTGTAGGTGGAGGCTTAACCTGCTACGCCACAACGTTGGCCCCACTTTTCCTTCTTTAAAACCGTCTTTTACAGAACAGAAGTTTTAAATTTTGATGGAGTATCGTTTATTGATTTTTTTTTCTTTTATGTATCAGGCTTTTCTTAATCCAAGGTCACAAATATTTTCTTCTCTGTCTGCTTCCAGAAGTTTTTTAAAGTTAAATATATGATCTATTTTGAATTTAGTTTTGTATCCTATGACAGACATAGCTGGTATTTTTTTAGTGTTTTTTTATTTTTTTTTTGGCTAAGAAATATATGGGTTGAACCAAGCCTGGAGTTCTTGGGAAAACACCTTCCTAGAAAACACCTCCTACATCCTCGAACTGACTTGTGTCTTTCCCAGACTCAGTTGATCCTGTTTGTGTGGTTCTGGTTCTGTTTCTGCACTGTCTCCCCTGTGTCTTTCTGTGCCATGTTATCCTCGTGCTGTAGTCTTACGGAACGTCCAGAGGTGGGGAGGTGAGGTCTCCAGATTTGTTGTTCTGTTTCAGAATGGATTTGATCATTCTGGTTCCTTCCTTTTTCATATAAATTTCAGAGTCAGCTTGTTGATATCTCTGGAACATCCTGCTGGGATTTTGATTGGGATCGTGCTGACTGTTGGCCAGTTGTGGGGAAGGGACATCTTGGCAATAAAGATTTATTTATTTATTTGAACATCAGAGTTACACGGAGAGAGAGGCAGAGAGAGAGAGAGAGCGAGAGAGGTCTTCCATCCGATGGTTCACTCCCCAAATGGCTGCAACGGTCGGAGCTGCGCTGATCCGAAGCTGGAGCCAGGAGCCTCTTCCCAGTCTCCCACGTGGGTGCAGGGGCCCAAGGACTTGGGCCATCTTCTACTGCTTTCTCAGGCCATAGCAGAGAGCTGGATTGGAAGAGGAACAGCCAGGGCTCGATCCAGCGCCCTTTGTGATGCCGGCGCTGCAGGCCATGCTGGTGCTTCAGGCCGGGGTATTAACCTGCTGCGCCACAGCACTGGCCCCCTGTTTTGTCAGATTTATACCTTGGTGTTCTAGTTCTTTTGTGGTATTATAAACAGTATTTAAAATTTGCAGGCTTTCTAACTGTTCACTGCAAGTAAACAGAAACATTATTCTGCAACCTCCTCCTCCTTTTTAAAGACTGATTGATTTATTTGGAAGAGTTCTGTGGAGAGAGGAAGAGACAGAAGCTCTTCTACCCACTGGCTGCTCCCCATATAGTTGCAATAGCCAGGGATGGGCCAGGCCAAAGCCAGGAGCCAGAGCTTCGTTTGGGTCTCCTAGGTGGGTTGCAAAAGTCCAGGTATTTGGGCTATCTTCCTCTGCTTTTCCCAGGCATTTAGTAGGGAGCTGGATTGAAAGTGGAGCAACCAAGACTTGAACCATGAACCAGTACCAGTGTGGGACGTCAATGTTTCAGGCGGCAGCATTACCTGCTACGCTGCAATGGTGGTCCCCCTGTAACCTTCTGAACTCTGTTTTGTGTTTTTTGGTAGCTTTTTTTTCTTTGTACATTCCATGAGATTTTCTACATTGAGAATCATAGTTGCAAATAGAACAACATTTATTTTCTTCCTTTCCAAGCTGTATGCCTTTTATTTCTTTATTTATTTCTTCATTGTACTGGTGAGGACTTGCAGTATAGCAAGGAGCAGGAGAAGTGAGGACAGACACCGCACCTTCCTGCACTCAGGTGCCTTTAGTCTTTCACCACTAAGTAGGGTGTTGGTTGGATTTTGTGGATGTTTGTTATATTAAGGAAACTCACATTTATGCCAATATTGGTCATAAATGGATGGTGAATTTGTCAGATGCTGCTTTTGTGTCAGACTCCCAGAGTCCCCTCTGCTCCTCCCAGTCCTGCCTCGATGCTCTGGTCACCCAGTGTCGCTCCCCCTCTTCGTGGAGGAGCAACACTGAACCCTGCGCTGTTCTTTCGTCTGCTCGGCCCTCCCCGGGTTTGCTGCTGGTTCTTCCCGGGTTGGCTACTATCCCTTCCACCTCCGTGGAAGGGCA